TTGGACTGGGTGACCCACAGAGGTCCCTTCCAACCCCTACCATTCTGTGATTCTATGAATATCGCAGCTTTCAGTAAATCGCTGCTTCCACCATACCAATATTGGCTGGGTGACCCAGAAATCAGCTTAAACCACCCAGTGACAAAGCGGAGCAGCCTACTGGAGATGCGGTAGGTGGTGATGGAGAGACCCTGCCCTCTAGCCTGTACCTACGGCATTGCTCAGCTTGGTCCACTTTGGCCTTGGGGATGTTTTGTGTGTGGCTTTTTGGGTTTCGGTGGGGTTTCCCCCCCCCCTGTTTAAAGTAGGCAAGTAATCTTTAGCAGACCTCAAAATTCACCCCTGGTGCAGATCATGAGGGGGTAATTCTGGTGAAAGGGCCAGGTGGAAGAAATTGCACATAATTTCCAGTTTGGCAGTTTAAGACTCGACATCCCTGAGCACATTTATCACGTTTATTGTGTCTCTGTGAGTCTTAAATCAGAGGATTTCTGATACAGGGACTGGCAGTCTTGTTCTGATAAGAGCCATCGCCTCTGTCCCCTCCAGAGAAGAGCGAGGTGATCAGCACAAACCTCTGACGCTGTGTTGGGATCCCCCGGAGGGAGCATAAGGGGAGAAATCCATGGGCAGAGCCAGCATTTAAAATGTTCTGAACAAAATACTTCAAAAAGCTGAACGCCCCTGTGTGTTCGAATACGCACCTATATTTTTGTGCCTAACAAGATCTCATTACAAGCAGGTAACTACAGAGCTCCCAGCTTCCCAGGGAAGCCCTTGGATGTTGTAGGGTGTACAAACCAGCTCTAATTTGTACAAAATGTCTTTCTGATCTGTCCACTAAGGATCACACGTGTCCTGGGTTTCCATCGGGAGTGTGTGTGTGTGTGTGTACATACGTACTGTAGGAGTTGGGCTGGTCAGGTACAAAGATCAAAAAATTGAAGATCATATTTCAGCCCATCTGTAGGAAGCTGGCTGCATCTCACCGTCTTACTAACTGCCTTGCTTTCCTACCTTCCTACTCTGTCACTTCTGGAAGACTTCTTGTTGGTTTAGTTGTGGGCATGTTGATTTTGAGCGAAGTAGCTGCTGCTTCTAGGTCAGACCGGTTGGCTTTCTGTGGAATGGCAGCATCGCTTCTGGAGAGAAAAGTGATTTTTACATGGTCTTGGGAAGCTGACTCACCTCTTAGGGCTTTCATTACAGAGTGGGGATGCTTTTAGGTGGCCTAATAAAATAAATAAGACCTAAATAAATCTTTTGAAGTAGTTTCGAAAAACGGAAGCGTTGCAGAAATGCCACGTTTAGCTTGGAACCTGCACCAGTACAGGCTTAGGCTGAGATGCTGGAGAGCAGTTCTACGGGGAGGGACCTGGGTGTGCTGGTGGACGACAGGTTGACCATGAGCCAGCAGTGTGCCCTGGCTGCCAAGAAAGACAGTGGAATCCTGGGGTGCATCATGAGGAGTGTGGCCAGCAGGTCGAGGTTCTCCTTCTCCTCTGCTCTGCCCTGCGGAGGCCCCATCTGCAGTGCTGTGTCCAGTTCTGGGCTCCCCAGTTCAAGAAAGATGAAGAGCTACTGGAGAGAGGCCAGTGGAGGGCTGTGAGGATGATGAGGGGACAGGAGCATCTCTCCTAGGAGGAGAGGCTGAGGGAGCTGGGCTTGTTCAGCCTGAAGCAGAGAAGGCGGCTGTGGGGACTTAGGCTGCCCAGAGGGGCTGTGGAGTCTCCTTCTCTGGAGATATTCAAGACCTGCCTGGACAAGGTCCTGTGCAGCCTGCTCTGGGTAACCCACAGAGGTCCCTTCCAACCCTGACCATTCTGTGATTCTGTGAACGCTGGGGTACAGCATGGCTCAGGCAGCTGCGTAGTCTGATCTTGATGTCCTGAGTCCGCTACCCCTTCCCGTACAGCACCTCTATTGTTACGTTGTGAAATAAAAACATTGAACAAAGCAGCATCTCCTGCATAATTCAGGTGGTGGCTTGCCTGGGCTGCTTGCCTGAAAAATGATACAGGAGAGGTGAGAGCCATTTATTGTGTGCTTGAACGGCAGGAACCGGTACAGCACGCAGGGTCCTGCCACTCTGTGAGCACTCGGAAGCGTATGAAATGCGTCGGTCTGAAAACGGGCATGAGAGCAGGGGTCATCGTGTTGGCTGAAAGTCCTGATTTGTTTTTGCTCTCCAGCTGTGGGAGGTGGATCCGAAATCCCTGGCTGCTCTGGGCTGGATGCAAACCTCCTCCTGAAACGGCCAGACAAAACTGGTCCGAGGTGTTTGGGATCCTCCAAATCCAGGGCATCGATGGAAGAGCTGGACGTGCTTTCCCATCATGTTGATGCATCTGTAGGTTTTTGGACGCTTGACTTGGTGTTTTTCGGAGGATAGAGTCAAACTCTACGTAGAGTAGAGTAGTTCTACCAGCGCAGCCACAAAACCACGCAGAATAAATCGCGCTCGCCCCATTGCTTCACGTCCCAGAGCCACCCCAGGAGGGCCGGGGAAGGGGGCCCCCCTCCCGCTGCCACGGCTGCGGCGTCCGAGGGCTCTGGTTTGTCAGACCGAACCTCTTCCCCTTCCACCCTCTGCCAGAGCGGAGGGAAAACAAGCACCTTCCTTTCTTTTTGATCCTGCTATTTTCACACCCCTTGAATCCCCTTTCTGGGCCGGTGTGTGCTGTTCGTGCTGGCTGCTGACGCGTGCACCCAGAGGAGCGCTGAGTCAGCCTCCGAAAACACTTTTCACCATGACTTGGAACAGGAGAAAGCAACAAAAGGCATTTCTCATCCTTCTCTACATTTATTTATTGCGTTCTTTTTCCTTCCATAGTTAATTCAACTGCCGCTCATCCCCCCGATCCGGCTCAGTAGAGATGGTCCACCGCGTGCTCCATGATGACCTTCAGCGCCAGCCACGTCTCCTCGGCGGTCGGGGCGATCTGGCTGGGGGGGGCGGTCGGGACGATCTGGCTGGCGGGGAGGAGGAACCCGTAGCGCCCCGTGTCCCGCAGCTCGAAGGTGAAGGAGTACTTGATGCCCTGGTTGTACGTCCAGTCGACGGTTGCTCCGCTCGCTTGATCTGGGGGAGACAACGGGAGGGAGGCGAAGCGTCAGTGGCTCCACGTCGTACGGGTGTTTCGTGGGACCTTTTGTCTAAGCTGAGGTGCGAGCGATGATTTTGGTTTACTGAGGGTGGTGGTGGATCGCTGCTGTCCACCATTACTCACAGATGGTGGTGTAGATGCTGCCGTACTGGTAGGTAGTGCCGTACAGAGAAGACAGAGCTGCAACCGCCTTCTCGGAAATCTGGTGCTGGGAAGACACAGAAGAGAGAAAGATGAGCCAGAAAAAGGGAGAGCCTGCGGGATACAGCCTGCAGGGAGAGGATTTTTGCAGGCAAAAAGGATGCCAAAGCTCAGTAGCCTTGGCCTGGGGGAGTCCCAGAGGCTGGCTTCTTCCTGGTTTGCCAATGCCCCCTCAGTGGTGCATGATGGAGGTTGCTCCTCCATGGAGGAGGAGAGCAGCCTCACATCATCCCGGCCCCCTTCAAACCTCCGCATCAGCCCTACCAGTTCGCTCTGGTCAGGCACTGGGGTGCTGGTGTAGCCGTAGGGGTAGAGCAGGAGCTGGGAGTAGCTGTGGATGGAGATGAAAGCCTTGATGTTCCCGTGGTTCTCCACAAAGTCCACGATGGCTTTCACCTCGGGCTCTGAGTTGGCGTAGGGTCCACGGTACGTCTCCGAGCAGGAGTTCGCGCTGGCCCCGGACCCTGTGGAGAAGTGGAAAAACAATGTGAGTGCTTGGTGGCTTTGGTGGCAGTTGGATGGCTCAGAGTCCCAAGGGCAAAGGGCCTTTTCTATTTTCGAGCCCAAGAGCTTTTCTCACACCTCAGCTGCTTGGTGGCCAGCAAGGAACGCACTTGGGGCTCCTCCTAGATGTTTCTATGATGGCTTTCATTTGTGGTCCCCGCTGTGCTGGTCACTGGGGGACACCAAAGCCCTGGTGGAGCCCAAACCCATGTCTCTGCTACGGAGAGCAAATCCTATCTCTTCCCCAGGGGACATCAGTGGATCTTTCTGAGCCAAAAATGGCCTCGGAGCCTCCACCGGGACGGCAGAACCCCTCCGTGGGGTTAGCGGGAGAGCTCTGACCTCCAAAACCCGCGTCCCAGTTGCGATTGGGGTCCACGCCGACGCAAACGGAGCCCGAGTGCTTGGACCTGGTCTTGCGCCACAGGCGATTCTGGAAGGGCAGAGCCGTCTCAGCTGGTGTCCAGGGCCAGAGCTCCACCGGCCTCGAGCAGACAAGGGGCTGTCATCTGGGGAGGCTAACGGGTCATGATGGTCCCCTTCCCACCCCGTGGAAATGTAGGCAAGGAGGATTTGCGCTTTCAGGGGCCTCCATGTGCAGCACCCCAGTCCTGCTCCTCAGCCCCATGCAGCATGGCCGTAGGAGCCAGGGAGAGGGAAGCCGGGGCCGTACCTGGGTGTGGGTGAAGACGAAGCCATCTGGGTTGGTGACGATCTCCAGGAAGATGTCCATCGTGTCCAGGACGGAGGCCAGACCTTCGTCATTCTCATGATCTGTGACAATCTAGAGAGGATGGCAGTTTGGGGTTCCCCAATGCTGCTGGATCACTGTCACCTCCGTGGGATCAGCCACCTGGCATCCATGGTGGCTGCAGGACCTTGTGGCCCTCTGGGGACGTGAGACGTGTCCAGGAGGTGCCCATACCTTCTTGGCGAACCAGACGCCGCTGGCCTGTGTCACCCATTCGCGGGAGTGGATGCCGGTGTCGATCCAGACAGCCGGGCGGTTCGTCCCCCCTTTGCTGAACTGGAAGAGCAGAGGGAGGGGGGGTTGGATTTGCCCCTGATCCCGTTCCCTTCTCCGGTCACCCCACGAACGCAAATCCCCACCTTGAGCACGTAGAGGGGGCGGTTCTCCGTCGACTGGCCGATCTCCAGCTTGCTGACCAGGTTGGGGTTCTCGGCCACCAGCAGATCGATGAAGGCATAGATCTGGGGGAGAGGGATGGGAGGGTCACCCCTGGCTTCCACCCCCCCCGCCTTTCCCGCACTTGGAGTGATTTCCCCCCAAAATGCTCTGAATCTTGCACTTTCTCACCTCATCCAGGTCGTGGTAGGCGGTGTAGTCGAAGGCATCAGTGGAGAGCGGCAACTGGCGGCGACCACGAAGCATCTCCATCCGCTCTTGGTCCACCAGCGCCTGGGCAAACGTGCGGCAGGATGAGACCTCATCCCCCCCTCCGCATGGAGACCCTGCATCTCACCTGTGTTCCCCTCTGCTGACCTACCTGCACATCCTCAATCATGACAGAGTAGGAGAGGCCGTTGGCCTCCAGGTGGGCTTTGAGGGACTGCAGGCTGGGGAAGGGCACGCGGACATCAACCGGGTGCCCGAGGCGGCGGGGTCCCAGCCAGAAATCCAGCTGGAAGGGGAGAAAGCAAGACAAGGGGGGC